GTTTTTATTTTATTTATTTATTTTTATTTTATTCTAATGTTTTTGCAGCTTAAGGATGGCTTGTTTCACCTGCACCGAGAGCTCCTTTGACCACATGTTTACTTCACAGCAAAACCTTCCAAATGTAAACACCACACACCTCAAATCAACTCCAGGCCTTTTATCTGCTTCATTGAGAATGACATAATGAAGGGATTGTCCACACCTGTCCAAGAAATAGCCTTGGAGTCAATTGTCCAATTACTTTTGGTCCCTTTAAAAACAGGGTGGCACATGTTAAGAAGCTAAAACTCCTAAACCCTTCATCCAATTTTAATGTGGATACCCTCAAATGAAAGCTGAATGTCTGAACTTTATGTTCATGTACATTATATAACTATAACTTGAATATGTTTCAGTAAACGGGTAAAAAGACAAAATTTGTGTCAGTGTCCAAATATATTTGGACCTAACTGTATGCGACCCAGCGCATCAAACTGAGGATGAAGTCAAATTTGGTCAAAATGCACTGAGCAGACTTCAGATTCCTGTTTTTTAAGATAAATGTTGATACCTGGTCATGATTTAACAAGGAAGTCCAGAGAAATGCCTTGATTAGTCTTTCTAATCAGGAAAACATTGATTTTTAAGGTTTTCTAATGAGGAATTTTTGATGCCATTCCAAAGAGTAAGATTTTCTAGCTGGAAAGAAAAAAATAGCTTTGTTAGCTCGCAGGGAAAGTGACAAAAATGTTGTAACTACTGCTCATAAAATGGGTTAAAAAGATTACCTTTCAGATATTTTATTTAAACAACCCATAAATAAGGTGTTTATTTATTATATTGTATTTTGACAAATGCTATCAGTGCAAATGCTTTAATTGATGCATTATAGCTGTGTATTTCTCCTGTTAATAWTTTGCAGCTTAATCCTTGGTTTGATGTGATGGGTCACATATACTTTATATTTATTTAGGTGTCAATTCATGAGCATAATTGTTCATTTGGTGTGCATATTTATTTCTGTGATTTATATGTATTGAATAATGACCGGAATGTTACCTAATAATTAGTTTTAAAAGGTACAGAGTAGGTGAGATAAAAGAAATGACTTCTGTCTTTCCAGTTCTGAAACTCATTAATCAAGTGAGTTGGTTCATTCAATGTCAACAACAAACTGATTCTCAGTTGTTTGTWGAGCTTTGAGTGAAAACGTCCAGCTGTGATTAATTCCCCCTGCCTTCCATCTATCAAMCTGACAGCATTCATTTCTTTGTTTGGAAGCTCATTTTTCCACATTATTGGGCAGATGTAAATTAAAGTCTGGCTCCTTCCCACTGTGACGACCCTTCACCTGTTCCATCTGTCTGTTCACTTTAGGAAACCTGGAGTGCCACCTGAGAATTCACAGCGGAGAGAGGCCGTTTCCCTGCCCTAAATGCAAACAGGCTTTCACCCAGAAACCAGATCTCCAGCGACACATGTTCTACCACACTGGAGGAGGGTTCCTCTGCAGCTACTGCGGCAAGTCTCTGAGGGACCCCCACAGTTTGAGATACCATGAGAGGCTGCACACTGGAGAGAGACACCATCGCTGTTCGCTCTGTGGGAAAGGTGAAAATTTGACAGTTATGATTCAAAAAGGAAAATCAATTATGTCTGAATATTAAAGACAGAGCATTACTTGAAGGAGTGCAGACTGCCTGCTACCTTTAATGACAGAGTTTTAGACAAAAATCATTCCTGTTGAGAAATGACAGGGTTTTAGCTGTTTTGGTCAAACAATAAAGGCATTTTTGCCGTTTCAGCCAACTTTGAGGCAAAGAATTTCTCTGAKGAGTCGTACTTCTGTTTAGAGAAGTTATTTAACGTAAATCATGGAGAAAGTGAAGTTAAAGTCCAAGTCGTCTGCAGCTAGAGGGAAAATGAAATGGTACAATAAATTGGTACTCACATTGAACATACAGTAAATACATAGAAATGCAACTAGAGTTACTACAGTGCATGTTTTATTTCAGTTATTGAGCAATTCATGGTAAGAACTTTAAGAAGTAATAAGTAAGTAAGAAGTTAAATTACACAACAACAAAAAATCTATTGTTGATCTGTCATAGGAATCACATTATCTTTAGCCACCTGAAGTTACACAACTAAATAACATAATGGGCCGCATGCAGGAACATGTTCGTATTCTTATCCTAAATTTCTCTTACTTTTGTTCGTACGAAGGGTTCGTACGAACATGCCATGTCAGATTCAACAAACTCTTCTATCTTCAGAAAAAGTGTTTTAATGAGCAGTGTAAACTGATGAATGCGTATCAGGTGCACGGGGAGAGGAGATTTACATAATTACCACCCCAAAAGCACCATATAAAGATATAAGTTTCCTGCCACACACCAGGAAGTGTCCAGTCATAAATGACATTGCAAAGTAAAAAGAAGAACTTTACGAGTTCAGAGACTGAAGTCCTGCTGTCAGAGATCCAGAAAAACAATCTGTCATTTTTAGCAGCGTCAGACCTGCTAAAGCCAAGGAATGAAATGACGACTGCTGTTAATGTTGTGTCTCCTGTGGGTCATTTATAGTCATAGAAATAAAAATCTAAATCATTTATCTCTCTCTAGTCCTGCTCCGCTTTTTCTTAGGTAAAATATTTTTAATTTAAATGTCAACAAATGTGTTACATAGTTTTCATTTATTCAGAAGAAGAGCAGTCACGCCA